TCGGAATATACACGACAATATCCCTCGTACGTTGTATCATGGCACGATCCAATACATGTGGGTCATAGAGCCGTATATGCATGATTGTTTCGTCCGACAGTTCGAGTGGGTTTAGGATATTTCGCGCGGCTTGATTCCATTGATGGATGTTTACGCGGTCCGAAAGGAGTGCAACGTATAAAGTCAACTACCCCGATGTCGAACGACGAGTGTCAGGGCAGCCACCCCAATCGGCGTCGGAGTAAGCGATAAGGGAGAGGTCCGGATTGGGGGAGAGCTGAAGGTCGTGATCGAGAGTGCCACGAATGTAGCGAAGGATACGCTTGAGAGCAGCCATATGAGGTTCCCTCGGATCATGCATGAATAGACATATTTGTTGTACAGCATAGCAGATGTCGGGACGAGTAAACGTGAGGCATTGTAGTGCACCGGGAAGGCTGCGATAAAGAGTAGGGTCAGCAACGGGGGGTCCAGTGGTCGAAGACAACTTGCTCTTTGTGTCAGCCGACGTAAGACAATGTTGCAGGAAGCCATGTGTGCACGCTATAGTATCTCGTCGGCGTACTTGCGTTGTGAGAGAAATAGATCATTCGACGAGCGAGTAACTGAGATGCCGAGAAAGTAGTGAAGATCGCCAAGATCCTTCATTGCGAACTCTTGATTTAGGGCAGCGATGATAGAGCGGAGCAATTCAGGTGTGGATGTCGTAAGTACAATGTCATCGACATATATCAGAAGGTAGGCGCATGAACTGTTGCGACAGTCGTGTGAACTGTTGCGACAGTCGCGTGAACTGTTGCGACAGGACACAAAGAGTGAAGTGTCGGACTTGCATTCTCTGAACCCCATGGTAGTAATGTGAGATGCAAAACGCTTTTACCAAGCACGTGGTGCCTGCTTGAGACCGTAGAGTGCTTTGTTGAGACGAAACACGTGAGTGGGGCAAGATGGATCGACGAATCCGGGAGGTTGCTCGCAGTTGACAGTTTCAGAGAGATTGCCATGTAAGAAGGCATTTTTCACATCAAGCTGGTGGATTGGCCATGATCGCGAGAGAGCAATACTGAGAACTGTTCGAACAGTGGCTGGTTTGACAACTGGGCTAAAAGTCTCGTCAAAATCGATGCCAGCCTGCTGGTGAAACCCACGAACAACCCATCGTGCTTTGTATCGCTCAAGGGAGCCATCAGACTTGAGTTTCTGTTTGTATATCCACTTACCAGAAATAACATTAGTGAACGGGGGGCGGGGCACAACATTCCAAGTATTGTTTTTAATTAAAGCAGTATATTCCTCAATCATGGCGTTTCGCCAATTTTGGTCAAGAAGAGTTTGGCGATAGTTGGTGGGAATGGAAGAGGTAGAGGACGCAACAAGAGAGAAAGGGACTTTGGGTTTGTGGATGCCCACTTTACTGCGAGTCACCATAGGGTGAGCAGGGGGAGGTGGGGGAGGTGTGGGAGTAGGAGAAGAAGATGTGAGCTGGCCGTGGTCGAGAGGTGGTGCTGCAGAAGAAACATGTGTTGGCTGTGTTATAGGACTGTTGGACGAACTGTTGGAAGAGGGTGGTTCACTGTTGGAACAGTTGGATGAACTGTTGCAACAGTTAGACGAAGTCTGAGGGAGGAGGAACAAGGAGGGTATGTTTTCGTCCAAGGCAGAAAGAGGAAGTGTGTTTTTGGGGGGAGTGGACTCAAAAATAGGAAAGTTGGTTTCGTGGAAGGTAACATGACGAGAAATTATGATTCAGCCAGTGCATCTATCAAGGCAACGATAGCCTTTGTGAGAGGAAGGGTGACCGAGATAGACACAAGGAGTAGAACGGGGGGCGAGTTTATGTGGTGTGGTGGCGGTGAGGTTGGGATAACAGAGACAGCCGAATACTCGAAGATGAGAGTATGTAGGTTTGATGAGGTAAAGAGCTTCGTGAAGAGTCCAATTTTGTGTGGTTTTGGTAGGTAAGATATTGAGTAGGTGTGTGGCCATATGAAGGGCTTCGACCGAATAAGTAGGAGGAAAATGAACTTGAAATATGAGGGATCGAATCATGTAAGTTATAGTACGGATCATTCGTTCTGCGTGTCCATTTTGAGGCGAGGTGTGGTGACACGAAAAACGATTTAGAATGCCGTGTTTAGTGAAGTAGTTTTGAAAATCCGCATTTTTTTTATTCACGACCATTATCACTTTGTAAGGCTTTCAGGGGATGTTGGAATTGAGTTTTGAGAAGTGTATGAAAATTGAAAAAGGTTGTAAAAACATTAGATTTATTTCGAAGAGGAAAAGTCCATAAATAATGGGTAAAATCATCAACTAACACAAGATAATATTTGAAACCCGTAAGACTAGAGACATGAGAAGTCCATAAATCAGGATGGATAATTTGAAATGGAGCAACAGTAGTAGATTTTTGAGAAAAAAATGGTAGACGAAAATGTTTGCCTAATTGACAGGCATTACAAAGAGACTCGCTAGGGTCTTTGTTATGGGAAAGAAAAGTGCTAGAAAATAAACGAGACATGATGTGTTTGCCGGGATGGCCTAGACGCCGATGCCAAAGAGTGCGAGATGAAGGTGTTGCGACAGCGATGAAAGCAGCGGGAGGTGAGGTGGGGGGAGGGACGCCAAATGGATATAGGTCACCGGAGCTATTGCACCTGAAAATATCGACTCGATTCCGAAGATCCTTCACAGAAAAACCAAACGGGTCAAATTCAACCGAACATGAGTTATCGCGGGTGAACTTTCGAACAGAGATAAGGTGTTTGATGATATTGGGTGTGACATAGACATTTCTGAGGCGGAAAGGAGTGGTGGGAAGAATTGTGTGGCCTATGTGGGTTATGGGGAGGGTGGAACCATTACCGACGACGACATGTTTGGGGAAATTACTGCCAGGATTAAAAACAAAATTGAAATTACCTGAGTGCGGTGCCATATGAGAGGTCGCCCCACTGTCCATGAACCACTGTGACTCGGTAGGCTGCTGAAGTGTTACCGTATTCAAACGGTTTGCGAGATCCACCACGTTGGCACTGTTGCAGGAACTGTTGCAACTGTTGATGAAACTGTTAGAGTTGTGCCATGGTTGTTGCTGCGGATGAACCTGAGTAGGAGTCGAGTGGCCGCTGTAGGGTTCAGGTGGTCTAGTAAAGTAGACTTGAGCTGCTGGAGTGGATGAGTGGCCCGATGTATTTGGAGCGGATCCCAGAATTGACGGTTGTCGGTAAGGTGCGCGCCAGAATTGAGATGCGCCATGGGCACTATGGTAGCCGTAGTGCTGCATGGGGTTCCGGTTAGTGCTACGACCTCCACGACGGTTGGATCGGCACCCCCGCGCTGATAGCGCGAAGAACTACCTCCGCGGGAACTGTTGCAGGAACCGTTGCAACTGTTGGATGGACAGTTCGCGTTGGAGGCGTAGAAAACAGCAGCGGTCTGCTCTGGTTCAGCAATTCTTGTTTCTTCCATCTGAAGAAGAGATCGAGTCTGTAGAAAGGTGGGAAGGGGATTCTGAAAGGAGATGAGGTTGGCGACGGTCCCGTAATTTTTCGGAAGGCCGTGTAGGTTTTGTAGGACGAGTTGTTTGTCGGAGATTGGATTTCCGACATCGGCCAAGTTGTCCACCGTGGTTTTGATTATTTGGCAATAATCGTGAATGGGGAGAGCGCCTTTCTTGAGGGATTTGAATTTTTCTTCAAGTTGAATGGCTCGATAATCTTTGTTATCGGTGAAGAGATAAGAGATGGCGTTCCATAGATCACAGGCGGTTGATGTTTTTTAGAGAACCATGCTGGACAGATCGTCGGAGATGGTGCCGTAGATCCAAGATTGGAGGAGATAGTCGGCGCGCTGCCATTCGTCGGCGGAAATCGAATCCGGTCGGGGTTTGCCATGTAGAAGATCGGAGAGGCAGAAACGACCGACGGTAATCTTGAAAAAGTGGCTCCACTTTTGATAATTAGGATTTTTTAGATCTAGAGTAACGGGGATAAGAGATTTGATATTAGAGATGGCGTGAGCAAGGTGAAAGGGATTGAGAGGGGCGGTGGATGGAGAAGAAGCTTCGCCGGCCATGGAGAAGAAGGGGGAGAGGGCGACGACTATGTAGAAGAAGAGAAGAAGAGGTGGTGACGGCTAGGTTAACCTAGTGTCTGATACCATATAGAAGAAATAGGTTTTGGAGAAAAGAGAGAATGAATTATCTCTCACGTATATTAATCATATATATAGTTACATGTAGAAAACCCTAATCCTAACTACACAAGGTAACCTATTATACAAGGTAACAAAAATAAATAAGAATAATAATAATATATGTACTATATATAATATATACGCTAATAAGAACCACCACTCATCAAAATTCGATTCCGGCAACAAATCGACGAAAAAGTCATATTCCTCGTACTTGTTCCGGCAACACGCAATGAAAAAAGCCATCTCCAAGAAAATCAGAAGGAGAAGAGCGTCGTTCTAGAGGCGCCGACGACTGATCTTGTTCTTTGCCTCCGGATCGATAGAAAAAAAAAAAAAAAAAAAAAAAAAGAGATTTTGATGGGAAATTGAAAAGAGAAAAAAATAGCAAAGTAAAAGAGAGAGAAGAAGCGTGAAAAGAAAAAGAGAGAAATGATAAATGAGAACCACAACGTATTTTGATCTACATATGAGGACATTCGGCACCTGATTGTGTGTTTATTGGGTAGATGGTTGAAAACCACAAGGTATATGTCCGCCATAAATATGGGTATTTATGATGAGGTTTCTGAAAGTTCAATATGTTTTAGTGTCTTTCTCAAAAGAAAAACAAAAAGGTTTCATATGGCTTAACTCGATCTTGCACCATTGTATGAAATGTATTGCTATCTGAATTTGCACCCATAGAAACAATAATAACACTTTCACCATTTTTTTCACTAAATTCTAAAATTGCCATCCTCACGGAGCCAAATCGACGTGGTTTCTCTATTGCCAATTCACAATTAGAAAAAGACCCGAAATTAGAAAATTAGAAAACACATGGTTTATTCATATCACAAGTAGATAAACCTTAGCAAAATGCCAAGACACCTACATTTAACCTTTTATATACATCACAAGTACATCAAATAACAATGGAACCAACACCCCTTTATTCATATCACAACTGCACAACATAACCTTAAAAGCACAACACCAACACCACATCACAATAACATTATCGATCACAAGAGAATCGACAAACTCGTTTACACAATGTATGGAGAAAGATCATTAAATTAGGCATCGGCCGAGAGATGGTGAGACTCGATATCTTTAGTCATGTTGACGCACAAGTCCATGAGAGTGTGCGGTTCTGAAACATCCTCGTTCAGTTTCTCGTACTCCAAAGTCCAAGTGACGACGTTGTCTTCCCCAGTTGTGTCAACATGAACAGTCAGTTTGAATGCCTTGTAAAGCTCCATCATATCTCCTTCGGTCACTTTGAATGTCACCGACTTCTTTTCCTCGTCTATGGCTTCAATTATATTTTTCGCCACCTCCTTTTTACCCTCTGATAATGATTTAAAGATCGTGTTATTTGGATATAAGGATTTAAGAGATTAATTAATTAACTAATGAGTTCAATAACCAAGTTTATCATTTAATTAGTATCCTAAACTCGCGGGTTTTAAACAAAATATGCCGTCATCCATCCTGTCGTTAGATGCTATACCGGTTGATTATTAACCGTAAATCTGCAAAATCATACATACACCCCATATGTCGTCGTGTACTTAGTGAGTGGTTACGTAATCCTATCTACTACGATAAACAATCACACGGTGTAATTAATAATCTGGTATAACATCTAACTCCCACATCAGTCAACATATCTTGATTTAAACCCATTAATATATTAGATAGATATATCTTTTAGTCTACAATATTTTATGTAGACTACTTCTAGGTTAAAATACATCATCAAATTTAAATCTTGAACAAATTGGTGTGATTTGTGAATCACTAATTATAAATCTTTTTTTTTTTTTTTTGAGACAACACTAATTATAAATCAAATGTAAGTAAATTGTACGCGCGTAGTCTATATCTCCTTTAGGTAATTAATATAGAATAGTTATAGTCAATAATGACATATACAATAATAAATAAATAAATAAATAAATAAATAGATAAGTGCATAAATAAACAAGATTTGGATTAGTTCTTCCCACCAATAAATAATTTAATTTCATAGCCTGAAGATACTTTTTTTTTCTTCTTTGACCCTCGTATTTCTCCTTGTAAAAAAAAGTGGTATTTTATCTAGTCATGCATATAAAGTGGGAGTGTAGGGTGTTACCATGGGTGTACTTCCAGAAGATCTGTGATCCGACGGTTCCCCATTCTCCGTCGTGTAAATCAACGCCTTGGATGTGATCAGGGCTCATGTCTGAAATGTGGTGTGGTCTGTGTCTGAAGATCTCGTGAAACACATCTCCGTCCGATTTTATGCTCGTTTCAGAAACCAACTTCCCAGTCAAACCCATATCTCTAATTATTTTTTCTATATAATTTAAATCAAGAGATATATGAAGAAATGGTTTTGCCTGATGCAGGAAAATGAATCACATCTCTGCTCTTTTTATATACTTTAGAAAATGATTCTACACTTTGGAAAACATTTGTTTTTATTACAAGTTGTTGTTACCTATACATCAATCATGGTCACGTACTCATGTTACCTGTAATCACCGGCACCATCTTTTGTTACTTTTTCTTATTATTTTGTTGATATTTTGTGTTGTTTATCTATCAATATATATATATTTTAGCCTCAAAAGTTGAAATTTTATACTATTTTAGTCCAAAAAAATATTCTAGCCCCCACCCAAACTCCCTGGGTCCGCCCTTATTCCCGACCCATTTTCAATTATGCAGTAAATTATAATGGTAATAGTCCTTTGACTTTTCATGCTTCAGTTTTGCGTGCAATAGCCAAATATAATATGATTTATTTTTGTTTGCATGATTTTTTTTATAACGCGGTAAATAAACTTGACAAATGTTACTTGTATTTGTTTACACTGGCGAGTTCAGGAATGTGTTATATGGTGGGTTTAAATTTTCGGGAAACGCTGGCAGCGCTCTTGAATTTTTTTTAGGACTTTTTGTGACAAAATAAGAAAATATGAACATAAAAAGAAGAAAAGAACAAAAAAAATTAGAGCTCTTTTGCATTAATTTGAATTTTGGGTGGGCTAATTAATAATAAATAGGGTTTTTTTGCATTAATTAGAATTTTAGATTGGCTTATTAATAAAATCTGGGGAACTCCCTCCCAAAGGGGTGGACTCGCACTCGCCCCTGCTTATATAGATGTTTAAAAATTATAATTTCGATATCTAACTTGGTCGTCTTCACAAAACTTTCATTATGCGGGAGGAGGAATTTACAAAATCAAGTTAGAGTGGCATTTAATTTGTAAATTTCTCGCGTCCATATAAATAGATTTTGATGAGTTTGTTAGCCACATTATTAATTAAATCAAAAAATGTTGTCCTATAAAATATAAATAAATTAAACGATTTATTGAACTAAATCTTTAATCATAAAAAAAATTTCATAACACTTTGTGATTAATACTGATTATTTTTCTCGAATTGATTGTTATATACTCCTTCTCTTCAACAATATATGTCTCTCTTAAGAATTATTTTTGATCCACTTATCTGTCACTTTACAATGAACAATGATGCATTAATTACATATCTTTCAATTGTTCCCTTCAACTCTCCAACACTCTTTCTGCATTAATTAGTGAACAAAGGTATTTTGATCTATCTATATTTGTTTTCCTAAAATCAAGACATATTTATTGAGATTCTTAAAATCTCGTGGCAAGGTGAGAAACTTGTTTTCCTAAAATCAAGACATATTTATTGAGATTCTTAAAACTCGTGGCAAGGTGAGAAACGACGCATACTTAGAAATGGAGGGAGTAGTTGTGAGTTATTTAATGAGATATTGATATTTTACCAATCAATATTTGTGGCCCAGTGCTATAAATATATGGTTTTGCATTCAATACCCAATTACCCATGTACTGGATCCAATTAATTTAATAACAAATATTTTCCACGTTTATATATCAGGACAATAATTTATATTATATATATGAGCTAATAGCACAGACCCCTGTGTTATTTTTAATTGGCGAAAAAGTCCTTGTAATTAAAAAATTACCAAGAAACCCCCTATGTTGTGTTAAGTATAGCACACAACTCCTTAATTCAGATTTTTCAGTTGATTTAAGGAAAATGACAAAAATACCCTTACCAAAAGGAAAAGGTAAAAAAATGAAAAATTAACAAATTATGAAATGTGATGAAGCAAACAACAAACACCTTCAACGAAGAAGGCAGAAAAAAAGAAAAAAAAAAAACAAATCCACAGTTGATATGGCTGCTCCATTTCCTGTGATTTGTCAAGCTTCCAAAATCATGAAACATTTCTTTCTCCTTGTAGAATGGAGAAGGGCTTCTCCTTGTACGGCAAAAGGTCTCAGCAGCTCCCTCCTGAAATTCGGCTTCGACTTCTCCTTCTCCTTCTCCAGTGCCCCCAGTATTAGTGCGTGAAAAATGGTGGTGAGTTCGAAAATGATTTGGAGGGATTGTGTTTTTTAAATTGTCAGGGACTGCATCGAAAATTATGAAAAATTCATTTTGGTTTATAAAATTTTCAGGATGAATCTGTAATTTTCAAAAACTTATTTAAAGGGTATTTGTGTCTTTTCATATCAAAAAACACACCTCTAGTCGCTCAACACACGCGTGCATCACACGAAAAGCATTAAATACAATTTGCACCCCTAAAGTATACCCTCTGTAACACTTACTCCCTTAAAATATCATTTGTAACACTTACCCCCTCAAGCACAATTTAATTTGTATTTTAAATTTTAATACCTTAAAAAAATATTTTATTGAAAGGAATAACTTAAAGAATAATTAAATTATTCAACTAAAAATATATGTTGAAAAATACAATATTTCAAAATTTTAAAATATTATCTTGTGTTTGATACTTATTCAATAAATAACATCTAATTGTTGTTGGACCAATTAATTAAAAATACTCTGGATAAATTTTAAAAAATCAATACATAACTAATAGAAATCTTAAGCATTTAAATTTATTTTAGTTCATTATTTTTTTTAAATATATTTTTATTCATTATTACCCAATATATATATTACTTTTTAATTTTTTTTTCAATAACTAATTTTGGTTACTTTTCAATTATCTATGAACTGTTAATTATTAGATTGTTATGTTTATTATTTTTAAAATTCTAAAATATAAAATAGTTGATGTTGAGGGAGGTAAGTGTGACAAATGATACTTTAGGGGGTAAGTGTTACATGAATACTTCAGGGGTACAAAGTGTATTTAGCCCTAAGTTAAATAGTAAAAAAAATGAGATTATGTTCGATTTTATTTTTTTTTTAGATTAAAAAAACTTCATTCATAAATCCAATTCGGCAGAAATAATATAACGGATACTATCTGGTAATACTAACATGTCATAAGTTTCATTTTTCGATAATCTTGCAATCTCGTGCGCCGCCTTATTCCCTTCTCGAGCAATATGCTGGGCTCTGAACACCAATAGCGTAGAACCTATTCAGATAATATCGTTAACAATCGTGTTGGAGTCTGCGTTGCAATTTGATTCTCCGACAGTAGCGATGACAACACTCGAGTCCCCTTCAAGTACAATCCTCTGCCAATTGTTATCTTGAGCCAGTTCAATCGCCATTAAAGCTGCTTTAGATTCTACTGCGGTTGGTTCAAGATGTTGTGTAATGCATTTTGTATGCCAACCAATACACTCTCCGGACTCCGACTGAGCTATCACTCCAAGACCGCACACTCCATCGACGGCATTGACAGAGGCGTCAAAATTCAGCTTCACAAAATCTGCCTCTCGGGGTTGCCAACGAACTTCCTTCCTAATTCTCCTAATATTTGGAGACAATAATTCGGTTGTGGCCGTTTGGAGATCATTCCACATTTTGTTCATGAAGAATATAATTGTCCCCGGGTCAGGAACATTCCCCTCGAACATACATTTGTTCCTTGCATTCCAAATTGCCCAACATAACAATACACATCGATCAATAATCAATGGATCAGATATACATTTTATCTCGCGCGCAACCAGTTAAGGAATTCGGATATCGCCGTATGGTAGACCGAGAATAGGACCTGAGAAAGAGCCCATACCTGACGAGATAATGGACATGCATAGAAACAGTGCATCACATTTTGTTCTCTCTCATTACAAAAGACACACCGGTCATCATCCAAGACTCTTCGCTTAAGTAGATTTGACCGGGTAGGTAATAGGTTTTTGCATGCCCGCCATAAAAATATCTTAACCTTATTCGGAAGATGTAACCTCCATATCCATTTCCACTCTCCATGTCGTTGGGTATTTGAACTATTACCTACTCCCCCATCGATGTCAGCCTTAATTCTTGGTGCAAGATGGTAGGCACTGCGGACTGAAAAGACCCCATTCCAGTTGTAGTTCCAGATATAACGATCCTCATTAGAATTACTGCCAAGGGGAATAGAGAGGATGGATTCGCTATCTTCTTCGAAAAAAACTTCACGAATAAGTGTTGCATTCCACTGCTCGGTATCTTCATCAATGAGCTCATTAACGGATAAATCCCACGGAAAATCTCCTCTGGGAGTAAATATTTGAAATGTATTCTCTCGTGGTAGCCATCTATCTGTTGGGTTTCGGGCACGTGTACGCAGCGGAAAACAAAAATTTAATGCGATTTAAACGACTTTAAAGCACATAAGCACATGCCCGACAAATTAAAATCAATTAATTGCGTACCTTTGCGCTTCCAGCGAAATTAAAACAACATACATGCTAAAATGTTTAACTGAATTTAAACCAATTAACATGCTCGCGTTTAAACCAATTAACATGCTTGCAATGATTAAAACGATTACATATAATCACATAAAATCATACGAAAGCAAACATGAACATTAAGTTTAAACGTGAACGAATCGAAACAAGGGATTCGTGTGTTTACCTCTTGAAGCGTGAGGTAGGAGCGCTAAGCAAGTCGAGATTGCTACGGAAACCAATCCGTACAATCCGGGGGCAGCAGCGGTGCAGCGGCGAGACGGGCCGTGGCGGCGCGTGTAGCTCACGCGCGGTCTTCGAGCGGCGCGTGGGGTTGCGTGCGGCTTCGGCTCGTATGCTGCTCCTCGATTCTTCGATCTTCGATCTTCCTCCTCTCGGATTTCACCTCGTATACTTCGATCTACTAAACACGTGGCACTAGACACGTAATAGTTAGAAAAACGGAAGAAAAGAAAGAAGGAAAGGAATACCGAAAGAGATCGGCCAACGGGTGGCCGATTCCGGCGAATTTCCGGCGACGGCGCGGTGGTGGTGGCCGTGGGAGAGGGTGGCTGATCGAGAGAGGCAGCGGCTAGGGTTATGAACGTGTGTTCTCTTAGTTGTGTTTGTGCAAGGCCTATAAATCAAGTATTTATAGTCCCTTGCATAAAACCCTAACGGGCTTAAGTTGGACCGGGCCCAACAGCTTAAGCTCGTTAGTTCCTTTACTTGCTCGTCTCTCTCAATTCAATGATCGGAAAATTGCAACAATTACATTTTCGGAATCATTATAATATCCTCGTCATTACGAGTGCCATCTCTCATTTTCCAACTTTCCAAAAGTGGAAACCCTAGTTCAGTGCACTTTCTAAATTTGGAAACTTCCCGATTTAGAAAGTTCACTAACACGTTCGCCTATTCTTTTCCTTTTCTTATTCTCATTCATAATTCCAAATTATGAATGTTGGATCCAATCACATTGACTTCCAATCATGCAAAGATAAACTTTATCTCTGACCGTTTATTCAAAGATCTCATGTGCACGAGCAGTGTGACCCTCGATGGTTCAGGTGTAAGCTAGCCGTGGGCCCACAACCCTTTGTGGTCAAAACTCGTCCCTTAGAGTTACGATTAAGATGAAGCTCGTTTCACCTTAATCACCCAACGAATCAAGATTGGCGTCTAGCAACTACGCGTCATGATTCCCTAGATACAAATGAAGTGCCTGCAAGAACCTTCAGATATAGTTAACGTACAGTACGGTCCCTTCGATTCATATGTCCCGATCGAACTAGAGGCATTGGTTCATCGAGACCTCTTTATATGTTCGATGACGGTGCGATCGTTCCAAGTGTTGTAATCGTCACGTGCATGACTTAGAGAATCGAATTCTCTAATCATCACTTAGTCAGCTCTGGCCAGAGACTTAGAATGATTACAAACTTTCAGAACACACAGGACATCCAAGACTATTCTAGCGATCGAATCCCCGACTACAATGCACAGACCTCCCACTAGATTTCGGACTGCACGAACACTGGCCCTTGGGATGGTCCTCGGTGGAACTCAGGGACAGGTCACGATACAGCTGGTCCTCTAGTGAAGTCACGGTGATGTCTAGGTCATAAGGACTAATGGTGTACAACTATACCATAGATATCTCTACTCGATTATTGGGAACCACTTAGAGATTTCTATGGTGAGGGAGTTCAGTGAACTCGTCAACTTTACGAGCACCCACTTATGCATGCCGATATCACAATACCGTTTACTGATGAGATGCAGTACACATACACTAAGTGCTAGTCTTAATGGGAAAGGCCGATATCCTCATTAGTGGCGTAACCCTTCGACTAGGAACACGTTTAACAGTTATAATACTTGAGTAAATATCTCACAATCCTAACGATCAATTACTAGTACTTGTAATAACTGTAAGGACTATATCTATGCTTGTGACAAAGGAACAAAGATATAGAATGCCAAGGTGTTTTATCATTAATACGAATAAAGGTTCGTTTATTACAATAATAAATACGAAAGACCACAGCCACATGTTGGCTTGTTGGTCACCTACTCTAACACTATCTCCCCAAACCTTTCGAGCTCTATATGCTTCTCCATGTGTAGGAAGGGTTTGGACCCAGAGAAGCCCCTAGCACATTTGATGTTGGAAAATATTTGGCCTTGAGTAAATTACCCAATAGGCTATTTGGATTTTCTAGCAACCTCCATAATTGTTTCTCTAGAAGTGCCTCGTTGAATAATTCTAAATCTCTAAACCCCAGACCGCCTGTGTCTTTACTATCGCACATAGTCTTCCATTTAATCCAGTGGACTCCTTTTCCTTTAGAATCCTCCCACCAATATTTAGCCATATGGCTATCCACTTCCTTGCAAAAATAGTCGGTTAATCTGAAGCAGCTCATAGCAAACGACGGAATAGCTTGAATAACTGATTTAACAAGATTTCTTTACCTCCCCTTCGGATCCATTGTTCATTCCAACCGTTTAGACACGAGAGAACTGTGTCCCGAATGTTGGCAAAGACCTCTCGCTTGGATTTGCCAATAATAGATGGTAAACCGAGGTATTTACCATGTTTCTCCACTATCTCCATGGGAAGAATAACACTGACCATCTCTACCACCTGTCTCCGTGTACTTTTGCTAAAGGCAATACTCGATTTCTGAAAATGAACAACTTGCCCCGACGCTACTTCATAAATCTTGAGAACCCGTTTGGCGCTCTTAGCTGATTGAGTACTTGCTCTGCAGAAGATCATTGTATCATCAGCAAAAAGTAGATGTGAGACCTTAGGAGTTCCTCGGCACACTAAAAGACCCTGGAGATTTTCTTTACTTTTCTCTCGGCCGAATAAAGCACTCAATGCCTCAGTACAAAAAAGGAACATATATGGTGAGAGAGGATCCTTGCCGTAACCCCCTACCCGGTATAAGAGAGCCAAAGGCGCCACCATTAAGAACATATGAGTAAGTCACTGTGGACACACGCTTCATGATAAGCTCGACTACGCGAACATCAAGCCCCAACTTTAGCATTACCTTTTGTAGCAATTTCCATTCTATGCGGTCGTAGGCCTTACTCATGTCAATTTTTATCGCCATATGTTCTCCCTTGCTACGCTTCATATAGTGCGTGACTTCGTAGGCTATAAGGATATTGTCTGTGATTAGCCGCGATGGGACGAAAGCAGATTGAGAATCTGAGATTATTCGGTGCATGAAAGGTTTCAATCGATTGAGAATTACCTTAGATGCAATTTTGTACACGACATTGCATAGGCTAATCGGGCGGAAATGAGCCATAGTTTCTGGTTTAGAACACTTGGGAATAAGAACAATCTGCTTGAAATTACCCGTTGAAGGAAATTCTTTATGGTTCAGCAGCCTCAAAACCCATTTGGTTACGTCATTCCCTATAATTCTCCAGAATCTTTGATAGAAGATAACGGGAAATCCATCAGGGCTTGGGGATTTTAATGGGTGCATACCTTCTAGAGCTCTGTTAATCTCCTCTGCCGTATAATCCCTAGTTAACTCGTAATTAATTTCCGGACCAACTCTCGACTCAACAGACTCTAGCACTTCATTTAGCTCATCATCTGATGGGTTACTAGATGTGAAAATATCTCTAAAGTATTCCAAAACTATGGTCTCCATATCATCATCCTTTTCACGCCAAACACCAGCCCGGTCCTGAAGACCCGATATAGTATTCACTTTTCTTCTCGACGAGGCTTTAGCATGAAAATATTTTGTATTCTTATCCCCCTCCTGCATCCAGTGAGTTTTAGCTCTTTGACGCCACATTATTTCCTCTTTATCGAGCAACTCCTCCAATTTGGTAGATAATTCTCGAATTCGATGTATAGATTCCCTCTGTAAGTATCTCTTTCTTCAACTTCAGAATTTGATCTTTTAATATAGAGATTTGTTTGGTGACTCATTTAAACGAATGGCTGCTCCAATTAATAAGCCCCCATTTGCATTGTTCCAGTTGAGTCCATAGACCAAGGTTGTCGTTAAAATCTAAGTTATTCGTTCATGATTCCTCAATAATTTTCGGGCAATCCTTCGATTTTAGCTATATGGCCTCGAATTTGAAACCTCTCTTTCTTCTGCGGCCTCTACAGTTGGGACTATTTTTCATATCAATTCGGATATGGACATGGTCCGAGTAAAGTGTCTCCAGGTGAACTACTTTTAAATCCGTAAAGAGTCTTTGCCACTCATTATTCGCACATGCCCTATCAATGCGTTCCCTAATTGTGAACGGGTGTTTTCTATTGTTCGACCAAGTGAATTGGTAACCTGTAAAACCAAGATTGAATAATCCTCAGTCCCTTAAGCATTCACTAAAATCTTGAAAATCGATATATGCTACCGCTCTTCCACCACTTTTCTCGGTTACAGAAAGAAGAGAATTGAAATCACCTGCGCACATCCAAGGAATATTTGATTGAGTGGATAAGAGTCTCAAAAGCCTCCAAGACTTATATCTAAACTGAGCATTCCGCTCACCGTAGAAGCCCGTGAATCTCCAAGTCGTATTAGCATCATCATCATACACATTTACATCTATATGATAAATCAAGTAACTCTGTAAAATGACTGTGATATCCTTAGTCCAAAGAAAACCGAGTCCACCGGACAAACCCCTCGCCTCCACCGAAACTCCATACATTCTCAATTTCTTCTTTTAAAACTCAAATCCCTTACTCGAAATTTTAGTTTCCGAAAGGAATACAGTTTTGGGGTTATTATCTCGGATGAGATCACCTAGGGCTCGCACTGATCGAGGGGCCCCCAGACCTCTACAATTCCAGGCGAGGCAATTCATGGAGAACCGATACAAGTGAATCTCAATTCATATGTTTCGAAATTACCACAAGATCTAGCGAATGAGCCGTCGTAACTCCAAGATATCCACAAACCCTAATCAGCCGCCAAAATTATTAGCCTTGGATGAAGGAAATAACAGGCTATCAATCTTCTGCAAGGAATAACACACCAGAAATAACAGATGAATAAGACATCGGAAACTCCTCTCATATGAGAGAAATATGGCCTCTCATTAGAGAGAGAAAAAAAAAATTTGCTCTAAGGAGAATATGTTTGATACTTAAACATGCATTCCATCCTTTACAATCGGGTAGAACCAAATAGTGGAATGTATATTTTTCTTCTTCGTAAAGTTCCATATCCATTGACATATTCTACGCCTTGAAATTCATAAGAATGTGTGTTTGATTGTCATAACTGAGAAGCCATGTACATCACAAATTGGACTTCTTTTATATAATTTATTTAAGTATCTTGCGTGAATTCTTGAGATATGAATCATGTATGTAGTTACAAAGGTTCTTGTCCGTTTTGACAGACTTACACTAAGATGTACCGATTAAAGTTTCCCAGCAACTGCTTAGAAAGAAATCAAGTAACCTCTCTACGACCTCTTCACTCAAGTCTCCTTCTTTCTTTAACAGGCATCCATTAACTGGGAAAAAAGACCGGATAAATCAAATGAAGATAATAAATAAAAGAGAAGACAAATGATTCATGAGGTTAAATACATAGGTCATGGAGTTTGTAGATTGGAGTTTCAATAGTTGCTGATGATGTTGTTATTTGAATCTGAATTGTGATTTATGCGCATCTGGTGAGAATGACATATTATAGTGTGTGTGTGTGTATAATAAAAGAGCCTATATATTTTGGGTGTTGTTACATGCATCTAGACATGACCGCCGGTTCGGTTGGAATCAAAACCGAACCAGGTCAATGGTTTTTTAACCGAATCGGAATCGATTTGACCAGAGCCAGAATCGGAATCGGAAAAATCAGTTCGGTTCCAGTTCCCATTTTTATAAGCGCTAACCGCCGGTTAAAACTAATCTAACCGGTTTAAAAACAAATAATAATTTAAATATTAATTATAATTACAACCGATTCTTTCCTTTTCCTTTTTAAAGCCCATTTATTTTTTCTTTTTTTTTTTTAATTTTTAAAACTACAACTAATTCCTTCCACTTTTTAAAAGTACAAAAATATTTTTTTAAAATAACTTTAAGTATTTAAGAAAAAAATTACGTTTTTAAAGTATTTTTTCCACTGTTTTTAAAAAAGCAAATTAACTCTTTTTTAAAGTATTTTTTAAAGTTAAATATAATACTAATAATATTAATAATAAATAAAAAATATATATAATCAAGAATCGGCCCGTTCTACCGGTTAGAATCGGGAACCGTCTGCAATCGAACTGTAAAGAACCATAAATATTTGATTCGATTCCGATTCGCCCAAATTCAGAACCGGAAGCGGAAGCGAACCAAACCGAACCATGGTCATGTCTACATGCATCCATGTAGATATTTTATTGATAAATTAATATTAAATTGATGATGTGGTGTAACTTGTAAGTTGTAACTGCTTTAAAATTAAAACCCATAACCAGTGGCGGAGCCAGGAATTCGAGACAGAGTGGGCTTAACATTAACAGGGGTTCGAGGGCAGCGCCCCTGATTTTTTTTTTGATTCATTCACATAAAAATATATCACAAAATAACTACAAATTTATAAACTTAAATTAATATAAGCTACACTGATTACTTGGGTGGGTGGGCTTAACATTTATGGGGGTTCGGGGGCAGCGCCCCCGATTTTTTTTAATTCATTAACATAAAATAACATAAAATAACTACAAATTATAAACTTCAACTAATACAACATAATTTTTTTGGTAGATAAGCTAAGCTAAATTATTTGGATGAACTAAATTAAACTATTTGGGTGGGCTAATTAGGTTCTTGACCAACAAAATTAATAAAAAAACTAGTTAAATTTTAGGGATTATTAGTGAAAACCCCCTAACTAATTAGGTTATATTAAGGTGGATCTATACCCTTTTACAATATTAGTGAGAACCCCCTTAATTATTTAATTAAATTAATATTATTACAATTATTAAATATTATACCTATATTATCCCTAATTACCAAATCTTATATTTACAAACCCTAGCCACATCGTTTATCACAAACCGCCGTTCTCTAATCCCTTCATCTTTTCTCTCCCCTCATCTTTTCTCTTCTTTTCTGGAATCGATCGGTAGTATCAGCGGCGGCGGTGAAGGTGACGAAGGCGGCATCACATCTCAACAACGACGAGGAAGATCCCTGCCCCTTCTCTTCTTTCTCGAATTGGATTCCGATGGCGTGGCGGAAGCGAGGGCGAAGGAGAGGACAAAGGCGGCACCATATCTCGACAACGACAAGGCGCCGCCGCTAAAACGAGGACGGGTCAGATGCCTTTTTCGGTCCCTCCCCTTTCCCTTCCGAGGGATGAACAGATCTGGTATTTATTTTTTTCATTCAATTTTTGGAAGCATTCTTGCAATCCTCGTCGGAAGATCACTCCACCACAGAATCATCAATCGATCAAACTCGAGGAGGATGACGAAAACTTGGGCTGCATTTTCATGTGAGATTCGCAACCGTCGACGCTCAACCGTAACCTCGAATGCCGTTAACATAAGCGGATCTGCTTCGTCCGTTATGTTTGGTATTGTTTAGGAGGCTGATTATCGTTCAATTAATTGTAGAATGTATGTTAGTTTGTTGAAATTGTGTTCATGTTAGTCAAGAAGATATAGTTGTTTTCGTTACGGTTGTAGTTGGTATCGATAATACTCGTTTTTGTTGGATTTATAGTGTGTTTTTTTTGCTTTTGTTTTAGTTGATTTTAATAATTTCTAGTTGATTCAATATAGTTGTTTTCGTATAGTAATATAGTTGTTTTCGCAAAACAATATTGTTGTTTTCATTACTTTTTAGTTGTTTTGAATAAATAGTTACTTTAACAAATAGTTGTTGGAATGTATAGTTGTTTTAATTATTTCTAGTTGATTCAATATAGTTGTTTTTGTATAGTAATATAGTTGTTTTCGCAAAACAATATTGTTGTTTTTCATTACTTTTTAGTTGTTTTGAATAAATAGTTACTTTAACAAATAGTTGTTGGAATGTATAGTTGTTTTAATACCAATTGTTTTAATAACAATTGTTTTTAATAATAGTTGTTTTATTGAAATATAGTTTGTTAACTGAAAAACAAAAAAAAAAAATATATAGTAAAAGAATATTTAAATAAAAATATTTAAAAAATAAAAAAGAAAATTTAATTTTTATTATTATTTTTTAAAGAAGAAATAAATAAAAAAATCGAAAATTAAAATTAAAATAAAATTATAAAAAAAATACATCAAACTAGCGGATAATGGGTAGAGAATAGTTGGATGGTAAATTTGAGAATAAAAAAATGATGGGTCTCTCCCTAATAAAGGAAAAGGAGCTAGATCCATCCTTATTAAAATAGGGAAAATTTGTCAAACCCCCCTCATCACACAAGTGTAGTTACAATAGGCCCAAATCTATTTCACATTTTTAAGATAAATCCAAAAAAAATATATTCATAAAAATAATTAATTATCACCATTATACCCCTAATTATTTTATCTAAATCATATGGTATATATATATATATATATATATATATATATATATATATATATATATATATATATATATATATATATATATATATATATATATATATATATGGGAAAATTTGACAAACCCCCCTCATTACACAAGTGTAGTTACAACAGGCCCAAATTTATTTCACATTTTTAAGATGAATCCAAAATAATTTTTATTAATAAAAAATAATTAATTATCACCATTATACCCCTTATTATTTTCTATCCAAATCTTCTGATATATATATGTCGCCGTCAGATAGCTC